ACGGATGAGAAATAAAACCGAGTTTCTGACTCTCTGTGGTTATTGTGGTTGGGGCGGAGCGGTAGCTCTGTGGCTAGAAGGTTGCCAGTTCAAATCCCACAGATAGCAGAGGAATCTTACTCTGTTGGGCACCTGAGCAAGGTCCTTAACCCCAACTGCTCCAGGGGCACAGTATAATGGCTGACCCTGTACTCTGGCCCCAGCCTCTCACACTGTCTGTGTGTTTCATGGAGAGCAAGCTGGGGTATGCGAAAACACAAATTCCTAATGCAAAAAATTGTATAGGGCTAATTAAGTGATGTTATGTTATGTTATTAAAAATGCCAGGGCATTTCTCGAAAAGAGTAGGGTTATTAACACAATTGTAAAATGTTACTACACTGTTAGCATTGCTTACGTTTCTAGAGTGGATATTCATATTTTGGCAGGTTACCAATTTCTTGGGTATAAAGTATTCAGTACAAGTCATAGTTGCACCAAATATTCTTAAAATAACCTTTAATTGTTGTACTGGCTCTATCTGTGTTCAGTCACACTAGCATTTAAAGCAATTTTTTATCAGCATGTGTAAAATTATTTATATCCAAGCCAGACTGAACAGAAATGCTAAATATAGCAAGAAGACAGATATTAATAAAACAATATAAAATGTAGTGTGGGGTAAAGTACCCCTAGCAATCTACATTGTTTAATCTTAAAAGCATTTGGCTGATTCTCACTGTGTCTGTCAGTGAGCAGTTATTAATAGAAACGTTCCCAGGTTGAGTTGTGAATGATGAATGCTTGCTTCTCAGACTGATTTTGGCAGAGACACTCCAGGAGAGAGTCATCCTTCTGAATTAATAACAGTATTACACTAAAATAGCTTTCCTTCAGAAATATGAATACTACAGCCCCAGATTTACACCACTGCTGAAGCAAGCAGGAGGAATGCAGACATGCAGACTATTTCCAGAGAGAATGGGAGTGAGAGAGAGATGAAGGAAGATTGTTAGACATAATGCTGATACTTTCTGCAAATTTGGGGCAAATTTCCAGTTCAGCAGATCATAACCTTGCTGTTCAGTATTGATAAGGAAGATATTATTCGTGAGTGTTATGATACACCAGTCCTTGAAGCAGCTCATCATGATCATGAATACAGGCATCCATGCAAAATATTGTAAGAAAGCAGAATTTGATTGAAAACATCACATAAAATAGAATGGAATGGAATCTGGAAGATTTTGTTCCCCCACGTTTCTGATTGTGTGCACACTAGGGCCCAGAACTCATGGTGTAGTTCTCACTATAGTAGTACAAGTTTCTTAGACAGTAAACCAGTGAAGACCTCTGTATAGAAAGTTGTGTGGTTGTAACTTACAGGTGGTGGGATGAGTTCTAGGTCATAGCATTAGCAGACTTGTTTCAGAATTTGGCAAGTGGTATTGACTTTAGTACTTTACTACAGATGATGGGAATTCAGTCAGGTGTGCTGCAGTTTGAATTGTTTGAATTGTGTGGCCTTACTGTCAGAAGGAGTGAATGATAACTGGTCACTTCAAAGTCAAGTGTTGGAAATGGCAGTCTTAATACTGGGAGGAGGTGTTGTAAGCAATGATCATACAGTGGATATAAAAAATCTACACACCCTTATTGAAATTGCAGGTTTTTGTGATGTAACGTCATGTTAGACGTTTTTCCATCTTTAATGTGACCTTGCAACCAACAAAATAGAGAAAAACAAATAGATAATTATTAGGAAAAATTAAATTTAAAAACCTACAACACCCTGGTTGCATAGGTGTGCACACACACCCCAACTAATACTTTGTGGAAGCACCTTTTCTTTTATTTATTATTGGATGTTCTTTTTTGTGAGAAATGGCTTCCATCTTGCCACCCTACTCCATAGCCCAGACGTGTGCAGAATATGGGAGATTGTTGTCACATGCAAGGAGTGACCAATACCTGCCAGAAAATTCTGCAGTTCCTTTAATGTTGCTGTAGGCCTCTTGGTAGGCTCCCTGATAAGTTTTCTCCTTGTCCTGTCATCAACTTTGGAGGGTTGTCCTGATCTTGTCAATGTCCCTGTGGTGCCACATTTTCTCCACTTATTGATGATAGTCTTCAGTGCTCCATGATACATCCAATGCTTTTGATATTCTTTTATCCTGTTAGTGGTGAAGACCCTTTTAGCTTATGTCCACCTGGAATTTTCTCCCCTTAAACATTTTTTTATATATCTGCAGCAGAACATAGCAGTAGCCTGGTTCAGGTCTTAAATTGAAGCTAACTCCCTTGGCTTTAAGTGTGAACAGTCAAATTTCTTATATTTCTTAATGTCTCCACTCAGCAGACAAACGTGAAAAAAACAAAAAAGAAAAACAGCAGGCGGAAAGGTCTTCTGAGGTCAGACTTTTCAATTCTAGGCCTGTCAGGGTCCTGGAAATGATTTGAAAACCTTGTTCTAGGTGACTACTACCTTGGATAAAAATCTGGGACAAATTGATCAATTAGAAAAAATTCTACAGTACATAATGTTTTGTGAAGACTGGACCTGGAATGAAATTCCTTGCATGTAATAAATAAATCATAAAGATATTGAAAGTAATAACAATAAAAACCATTGCAATTGCTATAAAAACCTTTAGACACTGCTAGAGAGCCTTATCTGCTGTTATGCATTGAAAGTAAAACCTTCTTAAGTTCCCTTCTGGTGTGAAAAAAAGAGCACTGATAAGAAACTGATTGATTACCCCTTCTGAGTCAATGATTGACAGCTAGAAAGCAAGTGGCATGCAGCCTGAGGCTTCTAGAGGAACTCTTACCCACTAAGGCTTCTGAATGGATGAAAATACAAATGACAGCGTTTTTTACCAATCAGCTCACCTTATTTCTGGTGACTTTGTGATCGATCATCTTGGTGGTTTTGTTGGTAAAAAAATTATTAAAAGTTACGCAGGAATCAAAGGTAGATATTGATTTACACCGTGGACGCTTACGACCACGCCAAGGATAGCACACGTATGATTATATGAACGTTTTTTTCTATCGGTTCAAAAAGCTCTAGTTGAACCCTTTTCGATTGATAAAAGGTTTTCTGTAAAGGTTTTGTGGTTTTGGTATTTTTTATGTAAAACGATAAAGTGAGACTGTACTTTTGAGGCAAGTTTTTCTTAGAATGTGGTGGATCCGTCCATGTCCAGCTTTAAGAATACCCCACTCCTGATCGGTACCTTTTAACAAATCCCGTAGATTTTTTGTCAGTTCCTTGCGGATCATGGCTATCCCAGTAGGATGCAACCACAAATGTTTCAAGGAAATCCTACAGGAACAGCTGATTTTTATTTGGGGTTAATCAGAATCACTTTCATTGTTGACAGGTGTATGCTACTTACCTTTGGAAATGGTTTTGAATGTGATTGGTAAACTCTGAACATTGCTACAGCCCCCATTATAAAAGGGTGTGTACACTTATGCAACTAGGGTGTTGTAGGTTTTTTAATTTCAGTTATTTTTCTAATTATTATCTATTTGTTTTCCTCTTGAATTGTGTTGGTTGCAAGGTCACATTAAAGATGGGAAAATGTCTGACATGATTTATCTTGATTTCTGGCTTTACATCACAAAAAACTGTAATTTCAATAAGGATGTGTAGACTATATCCACTGTATCTGGTTTACTCCGATAAAAAGGAACAGAGTAAATAAGACAGCCAATAGACAAAGGTGTGGGTGATGTAGTGAGATGTAAACCTTTTAAAGCCCATCTAGCATTTCTTTTCTTTCATCATCTGATTTTGTAAAGGAATTCGCTTGGGTGCTGTCAGTCCTGGATCTTGTTTGTAGCAAACTTGATGCTTATTTCCATCACCTTGTTATTTCATTAACATTCTTTCATTTTATCCTCCAAGGCTTAAAATTCAAATTCATTCTAGAATGGAAATCGAAGTATGAAATTATTATTGTAAAACAATGTAACTAGTCCAGAAGAAAAAAAATATGAACAATGTCATTTTAGCCCAGAACCATGATATACTAGCAGTATATGAAAATAAATGTTACCAGTGCTTGATATACAGTATTTTTTAACTGGGTGATCAATTAGGTTAATTACTGCAATCCAGCATATGCCAAATGATCAGATCATTTCCATCCAATGCATTTATTAACCTGAAAACTATCCTGAAGTCATACATTTCATGTGATTCTAACCTTGGGGGCATGTCAGATTAATTCAGGGTACAAACATATCTAACCAGTAAATTCTATACATCACATGACATCCCAGTCCAGTTTCAAATTTAAGACCTAAGATTTGTGAGATATCAGTGCTAAGTGCCAAGTCAATGCTCCACCCTATAACTCACAACTGGCATCTCACTAAAGCTAAGCATGTGTGAGCCTGGTCAGTACCTGGATGGGAGTTATCCTGGGAAAAACTAAGGTTGCTGCTGGAAAAGGTGTTAGTGGGGCCAGCAGGGGGCACTCACCCTCCGGTCCATGTGGGTCCTAAGCCCCAGTATAGTGATGGGACACTATACTGTAAACAGGCACTGTCCTTCAGATGAGACGGAAAACTGAGGTTCTCACGATCCGTGGTCATTAAAAATCCCAGGGTGTTTCTTGAAAAGAGTAGGGGTATAACCCCAGTGTCCTGGCCAAATTTCCCATTGGCCCTTACCATTAATGGCCTCCTAATAATCCCCATCTATGAATTGGCTTCATTACTTTTCTCATCTCCCCACTGATAGCTGATGTGTGGTGAGCATTCTGGTGTCCCCATTACCTGTAAAGGGCTTTGAGTGGAGTGTCCAGAAAAGCGCTATATAAGTGTAAGCAATTATTGATTATTATTATAAATGATTAAGGGTATCATGTTTCTTGTATTGTATCTTCTTATGTTTAGTTGCTGCTACATTGCAGCAAGCAGAGGAAATGAGGAAAGGTTTGCAGGAATGTGCAGCAGGGTTTCTTTATCTGTTTGGCTCTCAGTAGTCTGTGCTTTTCTGCATGCAGGAGTCCCCACAGGATGGAGTGATAACCCGAGATATCCATCGCACCTTCCCAGCACATGATTACTTCAAGGATTCAGATGGTGACGGACAGGATTCTCTCTACAAGATCTGTAAGGTAAGCTGGAGGCCTATTTATTTTCTTATTGCTTTCATGTACATACAGCACACATGTGCTTTATGCCAAAACGTTTGGGATTTATATCAACATTTTCTGGGCATTTGTTTTCATAGTCTCAAAGGGAATTGACCAATTTAACTGAAGAGCTTCAAGTGAGGAACTGTGTCACTGTAAGTGAAAGCATGGAAGCAACATGGAGTTGGAGTAGTTTTATGTTAACCTTTTAACTCTTGTCTTGTGCAGTGTGAGGATCATTTTGGTACTTTCACAAAGCCTTGGAAAGTCATTAGAGCTTATAGATGTCATCTTGATTGTCACTGGGTATTAAAGTAGGGTGAACACAGAAAACTTCTAGGTGGTTGGAATGGGAATTTCAAATAATTACTTCATAGTTTATTCCTGAAAATGTTTAGGATTTAAATATTCAACCTTTTGCCAGTGTGAAAGGCTGAAAACCTATTAGTAGAAAATCAATTTTGCAAGATATAGAGATAGGAGATACAAGCAAAGGAAAATAAAATAGGGAAGAATTCAGATTTAAATAAGATATTTTATAAATCATTTATTGTTTTCTAATCAATCAGAACAAAATTTTAACAAAATAATATGATTTTAAGCAAAGGTGTAGCTAACTAACCTTCATGAGAAGTTTTAAGAACCTATTCAAAGACTACTTGAAAGGCCTTCTTAAAACTAAAGGAGGGGGAAAATATACTGATTGCCAAGGGTTATAAATAAAGTTGAACATCATGCACTTAGTTACATGTTCAATTTGTACATACAGTGATGATAGTTATACAAGTCTTTAGTTTTTAATTTGTTAAAGAAAAATACCTGAAAAATACTAAATATTGTAAATACCCAAATTGTCATGCTAAATTATCCCTTACTTACTCTTTACTTATTTTACTTTACTTATTTAGTTCATCAAGGACATCACTAAATTTAGTTTGAAGTGTATTTATTTTCCGACACGGTTCAAAATAAAACTGTAGTATATTCAGTTTCTGTAATTAACGTTTCCTACATTTTTGGTATTCAAAATCATTAGTTTAGTAACAGAACACATAAACATTGACTACAATCTGTCTCCTATGAGTAGTCAAGTTGACTTAGCAGGTGTGTGCCCAGCTGAGGATTGTCTTAGTGATTTTGTTATTGTTTTTGAGTTTGAAGTTAGATGGCACTTTACTGTGACAAAAATACATTTTCATGAGGGATGTGCTGGATGTGCGAGAGTCTGTGTTGCTTAATGCGGTTGTTTTCCCTCGCCCACCATACTTTTATAGGTTGCATTTAATAGAAGTCATTGATTATATATCCTGGCTGACTCAAGCACAAGCAACCCTGGAAGATTTCCCCATCACAGCCGGCTAATGACGTGGTCCAGAACTAAATCGCTGTGTCTTATAGTTCTCAGTCTGGGCTCCCTTCTTGCTGGAAGAAGGTATGCAAGTTGCAAATGACAAGTAAAGGGTAATTTCAGCCAGAAAAGTAGAAAGAAGAATAAACACTAATTATTTTGCTGTGGAGCCTCTTGAGCTGTGTTGTTGTTCCCCTATAGTTGTTGAAACTATGGGGCTAATTCACAGAACGTAGTTAAACAAGGCTATGAACAGTTTTTGTATTGTTTTTCTGTGTATTTTTGTATACCAGGTTGGAAATATCTATAAATTTGCATTACTATAGTGTACATATAAATCTGCTCTCCAGACCAAAAAAATCATGCTTTCCTTCATAATATTGATTATAATATTGGAATATTATGTTATATTGATTGTACATTTCTATTATTTATTTGGTCTGTCAGGCCCAAGGGAAGATAATTCTTTTTTTTTTTACCTTAGCTGTTTCTCTTGTGATCTGGGGGGACCCATTTTTGTTTCTTTTAGCAATCTGCTTTGCCTACTGGTGTCTGGTGCCGACCTGTAGGTGTTGTTAACCCTTAAAAGCAAGCTGCTCTGCTATAGCTTATTGATTTAGGGAAGATACAAGCCCACAATGAATACAGATCCACATCTCAAAAAAGCAAGAAGCAGAATCCTGAAAGACACCATGTAGGAGGTTGGGGGTTTTAAATTGCTTTAACAATCAGAAATTGTAACAGTAAATTGCGAGTGTATTTGATTACTTTTAAGAACCAATCAAATACAATAATTTACAGTCTCACACACAGATTTAGATATGAAGTATAACCAACAGATTAATAGAAAATATGTATCTGTGAAATGATTTGCTGTGAACAAGAATGGCTGATCATTCACTTGGAGATTACAAAGATCATAACTCCAGAGTTAAAATACAGATTGACTAAAACGTGTTACAGTCTAGCTTGTAGGTTTTATCAGTCTCATACAACTAAATCACATTTATGTTCGTAGAACAAGTAAATATGCATGTACTATCATGAATTGAACATTGTTTGGAATAATAATTCAGGTGTCGAGAATTATCATTTGATTAATGAAATTAATTAAGTTTTATACTGAAAGATCCTTTGTCCCAGAGTCCTTGATGATGTAAGCTTTGTGCTGGTAAAAAGCTGGTTGGGTTTCCGTAGTAGCTTCTCAGTGCAGGGAGGATCTCTGGGATTAGAGTGGGGGATGCTAATCGGCCTAAGAAGCTCATCAAGAAGGCAAGTCCTGTCATTCGGTCTGATCTGGACTCTCTGGAGGTGGTGGCTGAGAGGAGAGTGGTGTCCAAATTAGTATCCATCATGGACAATGTCGCCCACTCCCTCCATGACATGCTTGTCGGAATGTAGAGCACTTCAGCAACAGGCTGATCCTACCACAGTGTGACAGGGAGCGTTACAGAATATCATTCATGCCTACTGCCATAGGACTTTACAACCTAACCAAATACGGTATGTTTGGGCAGAGACAACGCTGACCTGTTGTGACACCATACCTGTACACTTGAAACCTGATTTCTCTGTAACAACTGGTGCTCTGTTTTACTGGTGTTCTGTCTACATCCGGTTTATAGAAGTGCAATACATGGAAGTGAAATGGGTAATTTATTTATAATTCACAACTGTGCAATAGTTGAAATAGTTAATAGTTACCTACTCTGTGCAATATGCCTGGGAGTGTGTACTATCTATACTGTATATTACATCTTCCTTGTACATTCATACTTTTTTTCTTGTGTGAGCCTTTTCTGTTTTGTTTGTAATTCTTTATTCCATTTTTTTAAATGTATTGTATTGTATTTTACTACATCTGTACTGTACTGTATTGATTGTGCCTGGCTGCTGTAGCACTTGAATTTCCCACATTGGATTAATAATGTACCTAGCTACCAATCAGCAATCAAATGACCTGTTCTATGGCAGTAAAAAAAACTCTTGTTTTTCCTTAGTGTGAATAGAAACAGACCTTGAATTTAGTTTGGATGTTACATTAGATGTTGGAACTATTGAGTTTTTATTATATTCCTGAGAAGAGGGTCAAGCAAAAGTAATAAATAAACACATTCTTGTACAGTACAGTCAGGCAGACAGTTTTTAAATTCTTCAAAGTTAAGTGTTTAAGTTTGTTAAAATCAGTTATTTTGTAAGTAGGAAAGGACTTATCAAAACAAACCCCCTTTCTCTCATGCAAAGGTTTGATTTAGATGTATAATTATGAAACCTTTGACAGTATGCGTCAGGGACTAAATCTTAGGCATGCAACACCACCACCATAACAGTATCATAATCCAAGCCTTCGTCTAAAGTCAAGGCAGAACAGGCCTGACATCCTTTGGCCAGGACAAAGCCATAGCAATACACTCAAAAGTGCTAAAATACAAATCTTCCTCAATTGAGGTAGTAAGTGATTAAAATCCATTAAAAAATGAATTAGCTAAAAAAACGGGTGATTTTTCTTCCTCGTGATCAGCTTAGAATCTTTGTGTAAGCTGTAAGTTATTTTTACTTCTTAATTAAACATTTTAAACACTTTAATTTTGTAAATGCAACATGCATTCCATACAGCAAAAAAGTTACGTTTTCCACAGTTGTTAACAGATCAGCAGGTTGCAGACAAAATAGCGCACTGCCCACTAACTGTAAAGACTGTTCTGCAGCTTCTAATTTTTTTTTTAAATCGGAAGTTTCATCTATGCAAATATCACAGACTATTCTCGATTGTTTTTTCTGAATGTCACTCTTAGTTCAATATTTTATGTACATACTATATAAATAAGAAATTCAGGTGTTAACATAAACTATTACTAATCAATAATATTAAAACTCTCGCTGTAATGATTTGTTGCACTTCTACCACATCTTGTAAAAACATTAATATACAAAACTTTGTGCAAATATACGTTGAATCTGACTATCAGAAAATAAGTAAAATAGTAACATAAAGAAAAATATGAAGGTAAAATATAATTTTAGTTTAAGCCAGGATTCACTTTTTTCTGTCTACATCTATTCCTACTTTCGCCGCTTAGATCCGGACACAGAATTATTAAAAATGGGGACAAATTTTAGACCTCTGCGACTAAAATGCCAAAGACTAAAATGGCTTAAGCAACATACAGAGCCGAAAAATGTTGGTGCTGGCTTCTGCGCTTTAAAGGCACCCTCCTTGTGGAAGAATTTTCACCTTGAATGTTTGCCCACCAACTAACACACAGACTGAATAACAATACAAAATTTATTTGCAAGAATAGCAATTACAAACGTTTAAAAGAACGTAGTTGCAAGATCATAGTAATAAACTGTTATATTTACACTAACACTCTATAGGCACTACACACAATTTAAAAATTTTAAAATGTTTCCAAATTGTCCACTTGTAATATTTTAGCTGCTTTGTTACACAATTCCATATTAATATAACCATCAAGTGGTATTAAATCAGTGCAACCTTTTTTACAATAACACCAAGTGGTGGTCTTACTACGTATTCTTAGAAAAGGAAAAAACGTTATAACTTTTTATGAAGTACAAATATATAAACTTTATAATATTAGAACAAGCACATTTAAACCATAACCCACTG